GGGTCTTTAGAGGCTTTCGACCCTCTCCGGGTCTCGACATCTGATCCTTGCCTGGCTCTTCACACGGAAGATCTATTTCACACTGTTCCTGCTTCATCCTCTTCCGAGCCTTGCCCGACTCCTCAGACTCCATCACCGTCCCACCCTCTTCCTGGCATTTCCGTTTTTGACCTTTGCTTGGATGTTCAGGCTTCATCTCCATTCCACACTGTGTTGGTTGACACATGGAGGTACTACTTGGATTGCCTTTGCTAAGACGATGGCTAGCTGGCGTGGTATAGCCTTCTGGTTTCCAAGGAAATGCAACGTTTTGTCGGACTCTGGGTGGGTGGTCTTGAGGTGTTGTCGCCTTGATATCTGAAGGATCACTTGTTCCAGTAAGAGATGTTTTATCCACATAAGACATGTTGGTCCAGGGTCAGAAACCTGTCAGTCTACAGGATGAAGAGCTCAAAATACCTGTTCTTTATAAACAATGGTCGCCTCAGGAGATGGGGTCAGTCTGTACGTGAAGCCAAATGTACTGCCAGCAACAAAGGGTGGTTTACACTTGGTGAATAAATCAATCTAATCTCGGTCTTTAAGGTGGCAGTTTACCAAGCCCACTGTGGAAAATTGCGTGGAATTTGGGCACTGCCTCTTAGGGAAGGCCTCGCTGGGGTACACTGACCCAAAGCGGACCCAAAACTTGGGAAAACTCGCACTAAACGTCCTAGTCAGTCGCCTTAAGATACCAGACCTTAACAGCGCAGCTAAGGCTCTGGAGGCAAGCCTCAGAACTGAACCCTGGTTCCAAGGTTGCCCTAGCCACAGACTTAAAGGTTACAGTGCCTGTGATGTAATCACAGATCACAATTCCTCGGAAGGTGGAGGCCCCCGCCCACCATCATAGGGACCTGGATTCTTTTTTTTTTTTTTCTTCTTTTTTTGCATCTTAATTTTTTTTTTTAATAACCACATACTTAGAAGAAACATTTCATTACATCAGCATTGACATATTCAATAACAATTTTCTGAGCTAGGCTGCACCTCTTACAAAATTGGCTGTACATTTTTAGGTTTACAGTGGAATTATTACGGTTATACAATATTGTGCTCAGTATAAAACCTATAAGACATAAAATTAAATGAGG